GCGCGTGCCCGCATGTGTCTCCAAGGCCTCGCTGATGCTTTCCTCTGTGATCAGCTCGTGGATGATACCCTCGGGCACAAACTTGTGCGGCGTCTTTTCAAATGCGCTTTTGATAAAGTTCTCGGATAATAATGTTCTGAGATCGGGTTTCGTATCATCCTCATCATCTTCGATATCTGAGCCCTCAGTGTCAGGCGCCATGATACGGGACGATAACGACATGCAAGCTCTATCTCAAACACACCACCTGAAAGAGGAGTGTGTAAATAGATTGCAGCTTTGCGGCTTCTTCGAAATTCACGAATGCTGCGGCAATAAAAGTAGGATGGTAACGGCTGTCTCGAGCAAGGTCTTAAGAACGTATTCAGCCATGCATGGGGGCGACCGAGCCACCACCAGCTGACCGAGATGTTACCCGCTTGAACATGGGGTTAAACAGCTATACATGAGCTCGCTACACTATTGCAATAAGCAGCGATTGTTTCCTTTCCATGTTCAAGGGTCAAGGGGCGATCGACAAGCCAGCATGCAGAACAGACGGTCATAGCGTACCACACGGCAACCGGGATGCATTTGTGTGTTATCGAGCCGTTCCTTTCTGTCTAGGCAGCCAGTCGAACTGCATTCTCCACCCTATCTGCGGCACAGCCTGCAGTGGAATGGGGCGAGGCAGCGTGGGGGCCAGTCCTGCAATCCGGGGTACCTAGGCCTTGCGCCTTTCGGTGTCACCACGTGAAATCTCGTAACTAGACGAGGCGAATAAAGGATTGATTACACTGTGATATGAGGTGACTGGACGGTGTCGCGAGAAGTAGATGTTTCGAAGGAGATCGGTGGCTGGGTATCGCAACGCGCAGCTGTCTGTCGCGTGATGACGTTTGCTTTTGCAAGATAGCCCCACTTCCCTAGGCGCGTACCTCCCCCTAATAGACGCGCCCGCTACTGCAACCTTCCCACGTCCCATCACACAGCAGCATGCCGTTTCGGTAACGATCACAAACGCGAAGCCACGCGATGGTAGCCACCTCGCTGCAGGCAACATAGCCGAATCGATGAACTCGAGCTGTTCATGAGCAATCTACCGCTACCGGCACTCTTCTACATCATCCTACGCAAGAAAGTCAGGCACAACAGCAATTATCATCAAGAAGTACCAGCATAACAGTGGAGCTCTCCCAGTGGCTTCAATGATATAAGCATTGTGCATCATCTGCAGTTCTGAATTGGCGACTTCTATTCCTTGTCTTCTTGGGCCTTCATACAGGAAACTTTGGTCCAGCATCTTCGTCGACTTTTCCGGGTGAACCTCGGCGATGTTCACCGATTGAACGATGGTCTCACTATCGGGGCTCGGCACGCTCTGGTCAGACGGGCTTCGTTGCTTGGACAGTGGCTCTCCGAAGGGATTTCTAATTTTCTTGATTAGACAGACCATCACGGCAATGTCTACACTGTACGATCCCTTCCCGGGAAGCTATCGGGACGTCGACGTGTCTCTTTGGCTGTTGTACTTTGCATCCTTGACGCTCGGAAGGCTGTGTCTACACAGTCGTCAAGGATCTTTCGGCCACAGTGTACCTAGGTATGCTGGACAACCAATCATGCGCCTAACCAACACACCAACTATGGCTACGTAATGAGTGCATGTTGGGGGCGTCAAAGGCAAGGCGCCTGCTTCATGCAGTGCCATTATCCGTTCGTATGACGCGATGCAACATGACACAATTCGTCCGCGGTCTCGTGCGCTGTTTTCTTGACATGGAGCAACACCTAGACGGGTTGTACCTCGCAATTCTGGGTTTCGAACTCTTTCAACACCAGGGCGATGAGATCAAGCCACTTGGATATCGGTTGAGCGTTAATCACATTGTCGGCCAGGTCGAATGTCGCTCTCTCGAGGTTCAATGTTCGATAGACCAGACATTTTGAGAGTACAACATTACCGCTGCGTACCTTTTTCCATAGCGTACACTTCTGGCAGGGGTATCTCAAATCCGCATGCTTTGACCCCGCACTGAATGGAAGTACGTACCGCCCAGCAGACCTCCAAGGTTTGGCCTTGAACACAATCGCTAGATCCAACCAGCAAGAATGCGTGCAGTCTCATACCTCAGGCTCACAGTCTAAGCCAACTTGCAATATCCGGACCGCGCACGCACAATGGCCGTCGCCTCAAGCTCACTAGTAATCCCGAGCCAGCAGTCAGGGCTGAGACAGCCACGTGGTGATGGATCCGAGCAACGCAATGATCATAGACCAGTGAACACGTCTATGCGCAACAGCGAGTGGGCCTTTTCTCTAAACAGTTCTTTCAATCTGACCAGACAACGAGGTGCGCATCAAACGCGGTAATTCATGGACTCCTGACTGACGACGCAAGACAGACCCACAGCCAAGACTACGACCACTGAACGAGCCTTTGTTTGCGTGCGGGGTAAACACACACTCCGAGTCCGATTGTGCTACCAACACAGCTCTCAAAGTTATCAATGAATTGGATAATACGAATTCACCTCCAGTGCCATCTCAGACAGAGAACACGACCCTGAGGAAAAGGCTCACCAACATCATTGTACCAAAGAGATCAGATGCTCTTGATATAAGGAAGCATGCTGTTAACCCAGTTTTGTTTGTGCGACGATGGGCGCAAACGCGCTTGCCGAACGATAGTCCTACGTCACAGATTCCGAAGAAACTTCGTGAAGCCAGACGTCAAACACATCTCCGGACGTATTTCATACCAGAGGTTGAGATTGAGAGGATCGTTTCAAGCGAGGCAGTGCGGCAAGAACTCTTGGACTCGAACTATTCGAAACTAGGAAGGATAAGGAAACCACGCTTGAGCATTGAGGATGGCACGCCATATGTGAAGATACTCACGGCCCTCTACCTCATGAAGCAGCCCTCCAAAATTAGACTTTTTGTCAGGTCTGGTGTCTGCGACAAAGATCTTCCGCTCGATAAAGACCCACATTTCGACAGAGCGGATGGCTCTCATGAGCTGAGAAGCAGAAATAATCCCGAAGCCTGTGCGGTTGTATTCAAAAGACGAGAATACGCCAATGAGTTTCTAGAGCATCAATGGAGTGTTCTTGCGCCCATTTTCTTTGGAACCGATGATGCTGCCGTTCCCCATGTTGATCTCGACCCAGAAGCAATCCTGCCATTCTTATCATGCAAGGAGGTTCTGAAACGAGGAGGATCCAGTATAGTTTACAAAACTAATATCCATCCTGAACATGATCGTTTGAACAATATGCTGGTATGTCATATCCCCACGCCTAGTTTTACGATGTAACAAAACTAACAATCCCTGCGAATCAGCCTGGTTGCAACATATATGCAATCAAAGCTCTGAAGTCAAGCGACAAAGAGGCCTTTGGTCGAGAAGCTACCATTCTCACTAAGCTAAGCAGCCGGAAGCACGCCCACACTCATCTCGTCACCCTACTGGCCACTTACGAACACAATGGGGTTTACCATCTCATATTCCCGTGGGCAGAGCTTGATTTGTTCGACTTTTGGAAGCAGCGTACCCCTGAAGTCGAGGAGATGGGTATGTGGGTTGTGGAACAATGTCGCGGCCTTGCGGCTGGACTAAATAGTCTGCATCGATACGCGACTCTCTCTGGAACTCTCTTGAACCACGCTCCCGACATACCAGTGCAGAAGGCGGCTGGGAGGCATAAACAATATGGGTCAGTTCAAAATACGAATCCAAGCCGGATGGTGATGAATCTGTTTGGTCGTCATGGGGATCTAAAGCCAGAAAATATTCTTTGGTATCCAGATGACATGACCACAGGCGGTCATGGTATTCTGAAGATTACCGATTTCGGGGTTACTCGATTTAACACCGAGGATTCTTGGGACACGCGGCGCACAGGTAGCATTCCAAACTCAGCAGCATATCGTTCGCCTGAGGTGGATCTCGATTATGTCCTTACTAGTGCGTGTGACGTATGGGCTCTCGGATGTGTGTATCTGCAGTTCATTACGTGGTACCTTGGGGGACATAAGCTGGTTGAAAGGTTTGGCCGAAGACGTTTGGCAAGCGATCCCTTCCTGGCAAACCGACCAACCGACACTTTTTTCTCCATATACTTTGAGGCAGGGGTGAAAAGAGCTAAAGTCAAATCTGCAGTCATCGAGGTCAGTCTATTCAGTCAACTTTTCGACGCTACGATGATACCAGGTTCATTAGTCGCTCATTGCTAAATTACCTCAGGTCATGGATGAACTGAGAGCGCATAAACGCTGTACCATTGACTTCAAGAACTTCCTTGACATAATCAAAGACGATATGTTGGTGGTCCATTGGCAGGAAACGCTAGAGGATCAACACAGTATCCCAGTGCTTCGAAAAACGCTATCAGAGTCAGCCAGCACTCAATTGTTGGGTCATCTGCGACGAAAGAGTTGTGGGGATGTATTCCGCAGTCTGGGCGAAATCAAGCCCTGCTACGATCAGGAAGAAGATTTGACGAGGCGCGATACTCTCGATCCAATTTCACCCTTAACTCCACGCAACCATGTATGGCCTAAACCACAGCCATCAGCCAGCAGAGCACTGTTGTCTCGCGGATTGACTTTTGGCTGACAAATCTTGGTCTTCAAATCAATGGGAATCGGGATAAGTTGTGGTGTGCCGTGCTGGGGAAGAAGGGAATTGTGCGCAGCTTGCCACTTTCCCAATATCAGTCGGCACGATGGCTGGGCCTTTTCATGCAAGAGATGTTTCGATACGTGCGATTATCTCGCTGTTTTGTTGTCCTTTGCCCATTGCCTAAGGATGAAGCGGGGCAGTGGCCCGACAGTACCCGCAGGCGAGCATCTCCGCATATAACAGCAACTTCAACACTAGGCAACAGCAAGTGACACCGAGATAGGGCGCAGAAAGGAAGACAGGGAAGGAATCCATCGCACGATCAGCATAAAGTTCATCGAACGCAGTTCACCAAGTTCCCGGACTATCGAAATCGGCCCTTCTCCCAACCACCATGACTTTCACCGTCCTCTCCGACGCCGACATCAAAACCCTCCTACACAACATTTCTCCATCCGACGTCCAGAACCTCGCATCAGCGCTCAATCAAGCCCTTACCGAATATTCATGTAACGATGAAGTTCCCTACCAACCACACCGCGCGCATGTCGCGCGACCAAACGGCCAAGTCAGCCTCTTCATGCCCGCAACAACACCATCATCTATCGGTGTGAAGATAGTCGGTGTCGCACCATCCCAAGCTCCTCCACCAGGAGAGAAGCCCAAGCCTGCACTCAGAAGCGTACTTACGATATGCGATGAGTTAGTATAGCCATGTACGAACTGTATGTGAGACAAATACTGACTTCGTACACTCATCTTTAGCTTAGGCCAGGCGGTAGGCGTGTTGAATGCGGCAGAGTTGACGGCGTTTAGAACAGCGCTGGGGAGTATGCTGTTGTATCGGTACCGCAAGAAGACCGAAAACATCGTTGTGTTTGGAGCAGGTAAGCAGGCAGAGTGGCATATTCGCCTTGCTATCCTCCTCAAAGGGAACGATATCCGGAAGATCACAGTCGTCAACCGGTCAAGTGCAAGAGCGAAGGAACTACTTGATTCACTGGCACAATCGAAAGTCGGCGAACATATTAAGATGGGGGTTTTCGATGAGAAAGAAGATGCGCTGGAGAGCTTGATCACAGAAGCGGATGTCATGTTCTGCACAACACCCAGCACATCTCCCCTGTTCCCGGCTTCGTACCTTACATCGGACGCTGGCCTTGCTAAGTCTCGGTATATCGCTGCAATCGGGTCTTACCGTCTAGACATGCAAGAGATTGATCCAGAGCTATTGAAGAATCTCAGCAACCCTTCCGGTTCTTTTGCCTCCCACGTCTATCAAACGTTAATCACTGTTGATAGCATCAAAGGATGTATGGATGAGGCTGGTGAGCTGGTAGCAGCAGGACTGAAGCCGGAGCAAATGCTTGAAGTGGGAAAGGTGGATGGGCTGATGAAAGACGACGGGGTGCAGAAGTGGCTTGAGGAGGGGTTTGTGGTATATAAGAGTGTCGGCGTGGGTATCATGGATATCGCGATTGGCAGGGCTTTGATGGAGTTGGCCGCGGAGAAGGGGGTCGGCGTGCATTTGGATAGCTTTTAAAACATCCAGATAGCGGACGTATCGAGCAGTAGGGTAATGACATCGCCAAGATACGTAAGAGCGCGTTTCATATTCCCAAACTTTGAGATATTTAGGTACGTTCTTCTCATCCGGATAGCACACCATTGCGATGTCGGGCTATATCGATAATCAGTGCAATCGCCCTCAAACCTAGTATGTCCTACGGCGCATCCTGAGCGAAGAAGATGCAGCGCAAGTCAGGAACTATAGTCGCACAGTATAGTCAGGGTAAGTAGGAAATCTCAATGGTCGCGTTGGATCTGCAGATGCTGAGGCGGAGGCGGAGGCGGCCTTGGTTGAGCAGAGGTGGTTCAGACGCGATATTGCCTTTTCACCAGCTTACCGACCCGAAACATTGACGCTTCTATCGCGAATCGCTTAATGGCTTTGTTGTATTGGGATCTGAACTTGGAGGTTGGCCCGCATGAAGAAAGTCGCGGCGCGGAAAAGAGCAAGGATTCGGCGGCAGTGACGCGCGCCGATTTTTTTCTAAAAGTTCCCCCTCCCCCGCCATGTGAACGCGCCCGCGATCGCTCTGGTCTTCGGACACCCGCGATTACGATTCCCAGAAAGCGACTCGGCGTCACACACGATGGCGTCTAACGAGGACCCCTATCTCATCCTGCCGGGCTCGTCCGCCTTCTCCGACTTCCGCCTGCAGCGCCTCGCCCAGGCCATTGGCGCGACCGAAGTGCGCTCGCTGTGGGTGCACTTTGTCAACCCCCTCAAGCAACTCGGCGACGATGAGTTGAAGACGCTGCAGCAGATCCTGCACTACGGCGAATACCCCAGCAGCGATGACCGTCTCGCCCAGGTTCTCCTCGACGCTGTCAACCGCGGCGGCGAGCCTCGCGACGACAAGACGGTCCTCTTCTACGTCTGCCCGCGCGCCGGCACGATATCGCCATGGAGCTCTCTCGCCTCCATGATCGCGCGCACCTGCACGCTCGAAGGCGCCGTCAAGCGCATCGAGCGCGGCATGGTCATCGCCGCCACCTTCGACCGCGCCCTCGAAGCCGACGAGATCCCCAACCGCGACCATCTCTACGACCGCATGACGCAGACCATCAGCCGCACCGCCCCGAACCTCGATGCCATCTTCGGCCAGGGCGAGCCTGCGCAGGCCACGACCATCAAGTTCGACGAGTACAACAGCGCCCATGCCGCCCTCGACCACGCCAACCGCGAGCTGGGCCTGGCCATGGACAAGTCGGAGATTGAGTACCTCGTCGAGGCATACACACAGGAACTGAAGAGGGGCCCAGTCGACGTTGAGCTGTTCATGTTCGCCCAGGTCAACTCGGAGCACTGCCGCCACAAGCAGTTCAACGCCGAGTTCACCATTGACGGCATGCGCAAGCCCATGTCGCTGTTCGGCATGATCCGCAACACCCACCAGAAGAACCCCAAGCACGTTGTCAGCGCGTACAGCGACAATGCTGCTGTCTTGAACGGCGAGGAGGCGAGCTTCTGGGCACCCAACGACCTGACTGGCGAGTGGCACGGCACCAAAGAGACGGTACACATCCTCTGCAAGGTCGAGACGCACAACCACCCGACTGCGGTATCGCCCTTCCCCGGAGCCGCCACGGGCTCTGGCGGCGAGATCCGTGACGAGGGAGCCGTTGGACGTGGATCCAAGCCAAAGGCTGGACTGGCGGGCTTCACTGTCTCCGACCTGAACATCGAGGGCTTCGAACGCCCATGGGAGCTGAAGGACGTCGGAAAGCCTGCGCACATCGCCAGCAGCCAGGACATCATGCTCGAGGCTCCCATCGGCAGCGCCCAATTCAACAACGAGTTCGGCCGCCCATGCACCACCGGTTACTTCCGCACCATGCTCATGCGCGTCTTTACAAACGAGAAGGAGTCGGAGCTACGGGGCTACCACAAGCCTATCATGCTGGCAGGTGGTGTGGGCACCGTCAGGCCGCAGCATGCGCTCAAGGACCCTGACGTTGTACCCGCTGGCTCGCACCTTCTCGTTATCGGTGGACCTGCCATGCTTATCGGCCTTGGTGGCGGAGCAGCTTCCAGTATCCAATCCGGCGAAGGAAAGGTCGACCTTGACTTTGCCAGTGTGCAGCGAGGCAACCCCGAGGTGCAGAGGCGCGCGCAGGAAGTCATTGACGCGTGTCGCTCCATGGGCGACAAGAACCCCATCCTCTTCATTCACGACGTCGGAGCTGGCGGTCTGTCCAATGCGCTGCCCGAGCTTGTTCACGACTCTGGTCTTGGCGCCATCTTCGAGCTACGCGAGATCGACAATGTTGACAAGAGCATGAGTCCGCTGCAAATATGGTGTTGCGAGGCTCAGGAGCGTTATGTGCTTGCAGTCAGCCCTGATCAGTTAGACTTGTTCAAGCGTATCTGCCACCGTGAGCGATGCGGTTACTCCGTCGTTGGCAAGGCTACGAAGGAGCAGCGTCTGGTGTTAAACGACAGGGACTCCAAGGAGAACCCTACACCCATCGATCTTCCAATGGCCACACTTTTCGGAAAGCCACCAAAGATGTCCCGCATTGTCGAGAGCCGCAAGTTGAGGCTCCCTGCCTTTGACAGCAGCTTGTCCATGTACATTCCCGACACACCAAAGGATGGCTTGATCGCCGAAGCCGTGGACCGAGTTCTCACCCTACCAGCCGTAGGCTCAAAGTCCTTCTTGATCACCATTGGAGACCGCACTGTCGGTGGCCTTACTGTCCGTGATCAGATGGTTGGCAAATGGCAGGTCCCAGTAGCTGATGTATCGGTAACAGCTACATCGCTACTGGCTGGTGTCAGGACTGGCGAGGCTATGACTATGGGCGAGAAGCCGACCCTGGCGCTCATCTCGCCGGCCGCATCTGCCAGGATGGCAGTCGCAGAGTCTTTGATGAACATTGCTGCAGCAAGCCTCTTCGATAGGCTATCGAGAGTCCGACTCTCGGCCAACTGGATGTCTGCAAGCAGTCATCCCGGAGAGGGTGCAGCCTTGTACGAGGCCGTCGAAGCTATCGGCATGGATCTCTGCCCTAAGCTTGGCATATCTATTCCCGTCGGCAAGGACTCGATGAGCATGAAGATGAAGTGGTCCGACAACGGCGAGGCCAAGGAAGTCACAGCACCCATGTCGCTTGTCATCACTGCATTTGCCCCTGTCAACCGCACAGATCGAACATGGACACCTGCTCTGGAGAGGGTTGAGGATGTCGGTGAAACCGTCCTGATGTTCGTCGATCTAGCAGCAGGCAAGAAACACATGGGCGGTTCTGCCCTAGCACAAACATTCGGACAGATCGGCGATGAAGCACCCGATGTTTACGACGCCGATATCATCAAGGACTACTTTGACGCGATCGAACAACTTCATGAGTCGGATATCGTGCTTGCATACCATGACAGGTCCGACGGTGGTCTTTTCACAACCCTTGTTGAGATGGCCTTTGCCGGCCGATGTGGTATCGAGGTCATGCTCGACGGCATCGCGGCGTCAAGCGAACCCAAGGATGTTCTGGAAACACTATTCAACGAAGAGCTCGGAGCTGTCTTCCAGATCAGGAAGAAGGACGAAGTTGCCTTCAACCGCTGCTTTGCCACCTGCGGGCCGCCTCCAGGTATGATCAAGAAGATTGGTCGCGTACCTGAGGCCACAAAACAAGACATCTCTTTCTACGTCGGCACCCAGAATGTTTACCGCAGCACACGCCAGAAGCTCCAGCAGCGCTGGGCAGAGACCTCGTACCGCATGCAAAAGCTCCGAGACAACCCTGCTTGCGCCGACGCCGAGTTCAAGAACATCCTCGACGACAAAGACCCAGGCCTGTCGTACAACCTCAACTTCAAGCCCGCCGAAAACATTCTGCCCTTCATGTCGAACCTCAAGTCACCTTTTACCGCCAAGCCCCGCGTAGCCATTCTTCGCGAGGAAGGTGTAAATGGCCAAGCCGAGATGGCATTTGCTTTCCACCAGGCCGGTTTCACTGCCATCGATGTACACATGACCGACATCATCTCTTCGCGCGTATCGCTCGCTGGCTTTGTGGGTATAGCAGCGTGCGGTGGTTTCTCCTACGGTGACGTGCTTGGCGCAGGCCAAGGGTGGGCAAAGTCTGTCCTCTTGCACCCCAACACACGCAAGGAATTCCAGACGTTCTTCGCTCGCCCAGATACTTTTGCCCTTGGTGTCTGCAATGGTTGCCAGTTCATGAGCAAGTTGAAGGAGTTGATCCCTGGTGCGGAGCTATGGCCTAGCTTCGAGCGTAACGCGTCTGAGCAATACGAAGCGCGTGTCTGCATGGTCGAGGTGCTCGATCCCAAGGGACCCAACACACCGTCATCTGTCTTCCTGCACGGCATGGCTGGATCCAAACTTCCCATCGTCACCGCGCACGGCGAGGGACGCGCTCACTTCTCCAAATCTGCTTCCTCGGTCTCGAGCCCACAGACGCTATACAACGAAAACCTTGTGTCGTTCCGCTACGTCGACAACTACGGAAAGCAAACCGAGACATACCCGTACAACCCGAACGGCAGTCCAATGGGTATCAGTGGTGTGAGGAGTACCGATGGTCGGGTATTGGCGATGATGCCGCACCCCGAACGCACTATCTTGAAGGAGGTCGGAAGCTATATCCCACGAGATGTAGAAGGATGGGGCGAACTTGGCCCGTGGTCACGCATGTTCAAGAGTGCTAGGCGATGGGTCGGCTAGAGCACGCTTGGAGAGAGACGCGATTCGGTATGCATGGATTGGTTGGCGTTTAGGGTGGTTATTATAGGCATTTACGATACGGAAATGATAGATTTACAAGCATCCAAACGATTGTTTGCTAGAGGCGAGGTGTATTTTTACTTCGTACATCGTGTCAGGCATCCACTTTGCCAAGGAAATGCACAACAGGGGACTCTCCATCCTCGTACAACAAGCAAATCTGCAATCAGCTGTCTCAGTCAATAGATTTGGGTCAAGATGGGCGGAGTTCTCTCAATTTTGCGAAACACAGCCAAGGCTCTCATCGCAGCAGCTTCTCTCTTAAGAGCTTTGTCAACCGAGTTCGATCAAGCTCTGAAGCGTGCATCACAACCCCCGAGTCTTCCGGTCCCCAAGCCATCCGAAACTTACTGGCTCAGCGACCCTCCACACCCTGCACTATGCGACGCAAGTTCGTCCAAACTGCCGGAAACTGTTGATGTGGCCATCATCGGCTCCGGAATAGCTGGCGCTGCTGTCGCGCGATCATTGTTACACGAGCGACGCCGTCGCAACATCCACACTGATGAGAAAGTGGTGGTCCTCGAAGCTCGACAGCTGTGCAGCGGTGCAACCGCTCGAAATGGCGGCCACATCAAACCTTCAGTGTACGAAAGCTTTTCTCGATTCAGCAAGCTGTTGCCAAAAGATCGTGCTGCTGCCCTGGCGCGTTTCCAGCTTTCGCACATCAAGTATTTGACAGAGTTATGTGAAAGCGAAGGCATTGAGTCTGCCGAAGCTCGGAAGGTCGAGACTGTGGACTTTTTTCTGGATGACGAAAGTTTTTCCAAGGCTGTCGCCGATGTCGAGGAGTTGAAGAAATGGTTGCCTGAGGTCGAGATTGCGGTATGGAGGGGTGACCAAGTACAGAAGGTTTGATGACACCCTGAGGTGACTAGCAAAGGAACTTCCCGATGCTGACGAATGTAGAAATTCGGTGTCAACAACAGCGTCGTCGGTGCTTTGTCATACGAAGCAGGCGCTATCTGGGCGTACCGATTCGTTGCATCTATCTGGAACGGCCTTCTTAATGACTTCCCTGATATCCTCTCAATCGAGACGAACACTCCTGTAGAAGCGATAATCGTCCCAGAAACGGCGCCTGAAGACTTCCCATACGCTATACAAACTACCCGAGGAACGATATTCGCCCGCCACATAGTCCACGCCACCAACAGCTTCGCAAGCCATCTTGTCCCAGGTCTTCGCAGCAAAATCGTAGGCGCACGAGCCCACATGTCTGCACAGCAACCAGGACAAACATTCCCATATGCTGACGGCATGCGCTCATGGAGTGTAGTCTACGGCGAGGGCTTCGACTACGTCACACAACGGCCACCAGGCACGAGTGGCTCCAAAGGAGATCTGATGATTGGCGGCGGTTTCGTGCGGTCGCTAAAGCAAGGTATCGATCAAGTGGGTCGGTATGACGATGGCCCTCTACTCGATCCTTTGACCGCCGCACACATCACGGGTGTCTTTCCGGCAGTGTTTCATCCCAAATGGGGTGCTGGTGCTGAGTTGAAGCAGATATGGTCTGGCATCATTGGCCTGACCGGCGATTACATGCCATTTGTGGGTCGCTTGGATGCAAAGTTGACCGGGCGAGATGATAAAGGAAGCAAACGCGTCCTGTCTGACAAGGACTCCTGCGGGGAGTGGATTGCGGCGGGCTTCTCGGGAGAAGGCATGGTGTGGGCTTGGCTCTCAGGTGCTGCTCTTGGTATCATGATTGCTGGTAGTGAAGAAGAGGACTTACCTGAAGCTCCGGGGAGACCGGGTGGTAGGTTATCGGAATGGTTTCCGAAAGAGCTCTTGGTGTCGAAGGAGAGAATGCGTAGCGCTGATGTCAGTAACTTGGCCAATTAGTTATGAAAAGCAAGGTTATGGTTCGTCGATTTATGTCGACGGATTTACGAAAACTTCTTATATAACGATCGATTGTGTACTAGGTCCCGTGATTCTATGAAACTCTCTTCTAGTTACAATTCCTCTATTCCCAATGCCGCCGATTGCTTCATTGCCATGTAGTTCAGATGTAGGGTGCTTCAGTTCAAGCAGCCTCTTTCTCTATATCTTTTGACGCTTGTTCTGCTGGTTTTCCTGCACGTTCGTTGATGCGCCTCCATTCCACCATCAGCGCTCCAATGATGGTGCAAGCGCTGAGTGCTGCTGCTAGCAGGAACGTCCCAGTTATTGAGTAGCTGTACGCCGATACCACCGTATCGATCTCGTTCGCCGCTACCACTTTTCGGAGGTCTGTTGCACCGGTGTTGATGATGAGCTCAGTATCGAGTTTGGAGTTACCCGATAGTTGCTTGACGAGCTGAGTTGAGAAAAGGTTTTGTCCAACAGCAAGGAAGATAGCACCACCCTGTTGATTTAGGAAGAAGACTATAGGTTTACGAAGTCAGCGTATGTTCAACATGCAATTCTTACAGAGAAACTTACTCATCGCCATGCCGAGGGAAACATCTGAGCGCGGCAGAATAGTCTGCGGCACCAAGTTCGCTGTTTGAGCCCCAAAGCCAAGCCCGCACCCGTAGAAGATCTGATAACCAATCCATTGACCAGCGCTCGAATCCGGCGTAAGTGTAGAAAGGAGGCCACTGGCGATTGATGCGACAACGGCCGAAAGGAGCATAGCAGGGACATAATATCCGATCTTCTGAGTTATCACTGCTGTAACAATGCCGAAGACAATAAGCGATGTGCACAACGGTATCGTGCGTACACCGGCCTGCATGGCAGACTGACCCTGGGCTGCCTGGAACCAAATGGCGATGTAGTATACAGTGTTCATCATACCGCCGGCGAGGAGAAAGATGAACAGCATAGCACCGCCCATCGAACGGTTCAAGATGACCCGAGGCGGGGCCATGGCTGTATCCGGCATCGTAAACTCCACAACCAGGAATGCGATGAAAGTAATTGCAAATGTGACGAGCAGGCCGATGATCCTCGGTGCTGACCAAGCATCGGTCGTACCTCCCCACTGAAGAGCGAGGATGAGGCATACCATGGATGGTACGAAGAATAGAAGACCTATTGGGTCGAGGCGCTTGAGCTGAGCGAGAATGGACAGCTTCTCTTTAGGCGTGGAAGGAAGATCCAGAAAGAAGAATATGCATGCGAACGTCAAGGCACCGATGGGGAGATTTATGTAGAAGCACCATCTCCACGTCAAGGTACTATTTGCGTGTTAACCGTGACTCACGAAGAAAGCTGGGAGACTTACGGGTTGTCCGTAAAGGTACCTCCAACGAAGGGCCCCAATACAGATGAGACTCCAAATGCGAGACCGAGAAAAGAAGTGAAGATGGGTCGCCTTCGCAATGGCACGAGAGGTACGATAATCATGACCGCACCACATTGAAGTCCAGCTGCTCCGATACCAGCGATTGCGCGACCGACGATGACTTCAATGAGGGTAAGCGAGTGTATCATCTCGCGATGTGGTGGATTACTTACGAACAACAGAAGTAGGTGCGGCCCCACACAATGCACTGCCAACTTCGAACAGGAAGACGGACACCAGAAACGTCCTTTTAGTATCGTAAAGCTGGTATATTTTGCCGAAGAGTGGATTGAAGATAGCGCACGTAAGCATGTAGCCACTACCATACCAGCCTATATCCGCGATAGTGCCGTATGTGTTTGTGATTGCCGGTATAGCAGTAGCTAAGCAGTGTCAGTAAGGACTAAAGACGGAGAAGTTCCACATACCAATGATCATGCGGTCGAGAGCAACAAGGAAGAAGGCCAGATAGATCGAGATGATGACGAGCCAAAACTTGAGTGTTTTGGGCTTATAGTTCTCCTCGGAATCTGCGTACTCGTGACCTCCAGAGGCTGAAGGTGAGGCATCCTTTTCAAGCTCTTCGTGCAAACTAGCGGGTTTGGCCATTGTTGTAGTCCCAACTTGAGCTGGTGTAGTCATGGCGTAAACTTCGGAATGAGCGCAGTGGAGTTCAAAGAGAAACTTGAGATTGGATACACTAGAACACTGTCGAGAGAAGCTTGGCTGTTATATGTACATTCGGTATGTGCAACGTCCCGAACGATGTTTTGCAATACAATCCCGTTCGGGGAGTAGAAATGTCCGACATGGAAGCGGTCTACGCAAACATTGGAAGCGAACTTCGACCTGTTGCAGAGTAATAGTGATCCAGGACGGGTCGGGAATATCAGAGTTTCTCCGAACGCATACTGTCGATTTGATGTGTTGAGACGATTCAATGTCCTGAATGCCCAGAGTTGCCCGGTGTTCGATGTGAGAGAGATCACGTGATGGGCTCGGGGATTAGATCTGTCCGAGAGGCTGGCCGCACCTTACTCAGGCGTCGGTGCGCGTCATCACGCCCTTACGGATCGAACCTCAAGTTCAGACATCGGAGGTAGTAAGCGTGAATAAACGCGAAGATTGCGGAGATGTTGGGACGGATGCCATCCCGTCACTGCTGAAACAAGAGAAAGGAGTGGCTGTGGTTGACGAACGCGACTGAAGCGGGAAGTGCGGTTTACGTAAGCCTCACGCGTCGTGGTGGTGGTATCGAGCCTGGGCACCCTCCTGCGCCGGCCTGCCTGCCTGCTTTCCTGCGAACCGCCCTCTTCGTCGCAAGGACCCATATTTCTCACATGAAGCCACAATGCTCTTTCGTTGCAGTCAATCCGGGGATAAGCAGAGCCAGGCGAGCGCCTCGCGTCTGGTTGCCTGGCTGCCTGGTTAGCGCCTGCCTCGCCACCTGCTCTGTGGTGGCCTTTTCCACTCCGCGCTCGCATACCTGATCAATACCGCTGTCACGAAAGAGAGCTCGTTCCCTTGACATGTCGTCTGATATACCCACACCTGAACTCAGCGCTGATGCACTGTCTCCATTGGCGCATGCAAGCAAGTCTCAGCGCGTGCTTTCGTGCGTGCTATGCGCGCAAAGAAAGGTCAAATGTGACCGGGCTTTTCCTTGCTCAAACTGCAAGAAGGCGGGTGTGCAATGCATTTCCGCAGCGACGCAACCACGGCAACGACGTCGCAGATTTGCCGAACGGGAGCTGCTTGAGCGTCTTCGCCACTACGAAGACCTCTTGAAGACGAACGGCATTGCCTTCCAACCCTTACATGCATCTTCGAACCTATCCACAGGGCCCCACGAAAGTAACGTCAGTCGTGGTCAGGAGATTTCCAGAGCTCAATCGTCCACCATATCAGATACCGACAACACCCAACCCAAGTACGCAGAAACTGTAGCACTTGAAAGAGACACTACTAACTCTACTAGGAGTTTTTGGCTTGCCTTAAACCGATTAGCATACGATGCTGATGACGACGGCAGCGACGACGATTCCGAGAACAGCGGCTCTTCGCAACACGCATTACAGCAAGCGCAGATTGTGCAAGCCTGGGATAACCTCTATGCGCAGAAACTACACCGTAACGAAGATCTCTTGTTCTGCTCGCGTAGTACGGCCGTCGACCTATCGGTTCTCCATCCCCCCCAAAGCCAGGTGTTCAAACTTTGGCAACTGTACCTTGAGAATGTCGACCCATTATTGAAGCTCACCCATACGCCTACCCTCCAGCCACGCATCATCGATGCCGCTAGCGACGTCTCACATGTCGATCCAAATTTGGAGGCCCTAATGTTCTCCATCTATTGCATGGCTATTTTCAGCCTCAATCAGGAGCAGTGTCAATCATGGTTTGGTAGGCCTAAGCCGGACCTGATCAGATCTTACCAGTTGGGTGCAAGGGAGGCGCTGCTGAATTGTAACTTCTTAAAGTCTAACGATCGAGAATGCTTGACAGCCCTTCATCTGTACCTGGTCTCGCTCAAACCAGACACAGACCCACGGTCATTGTCGTCCATGCTAGGGGTTGCTGTTCGCATTGCTCAGCGAATGGGTATCGATGCCGAATCTGCCAATTCCAGGCATTGCGTGCTAGAGGCCGAATTGCGCAGAAGACTATGGTGGTCTCTCTCTCTCTTTGACAACAGGATGTCTGAAATGACCGAGAGCAAGTCCACTACATTAATCCCGACATGGGATTGCAAAGCCCCGCTCAACGTCAACGATTTCAACTTACGAGTCGAGACCAAGACCCCTCCTGTTGAGTCTGAGGTCGTTTCCGAAGCCTTATTTCCAGTCATCCGTAGCCAGATTGGCGAGTTCATTCGTCAAAGCCCATCTCATTTGGACTTCATCAATCCGGCCCTGAAGTCCTTCTCCAAGAAGGCATTTGACGCCTCCTATTCAGGGCTTGACGAGCTTGCCGCTTTTGAGTCAACGATAGAGCAAAAGTATCTTACGCGTTGCGATGCTCAAAACCCGCTGCACTTTCTAACCATGTGGATGGCGCGCGCGTCACTCGCAAAGATCGGATTTGCACAATACCTATCAAACAACTCGAAGGGACTTGCGCAAGGAAGTGAGGAGCAGCGCAACGTTGGTCTTGGATTTGCGCACCATATGCTTGAGTGCGATACGCTGCTCATGACCTCACCCCTCATAGCAAATTTCCGCTGGGTTGTCTACATGCACTTCCCGTTCCCTGCCTATATTCATCTCGCGCAAGAGTTGAAAATACGCCCACTAGGCCAACTAGCAGATCGATGGTGGCAGGCAATGAGCGAGAACTGCGCCGCTCGGTTGATGGACTTCGAGAAAAAGGACAGCCCGGTGGAGACCAAGCCCAACAACCCTTTCTTCACACTCTTTGGGGGGCTTGTTCTACAAGCTTGGTCGGCACGTGAAGCAATAACGTCCGAACAATCGGATCCACCAGCTATCGTGACGCAAATCAGACAAAAGATGGCCCTAAGGGACAAACTAGCGGCAGTGTCGCAATTCCAGACGCCAGGTCTTGATGATCCACAAACGTCCGAGCTCATTAGTTTGGACAGTCTCGGCTCCCAATCGAGCGTTACCCGTGGCAGTGGCATGAATCTGGGCTGTGTAGCTTTCCCCATGGAACAAGCTTCGATGAACTACAATGGCAATCCATGGGATTGGCCAATGCCGGCTTGGGCTGGAATGCCCGGTCAAGGCTGGTGAACCTACCGTGTTCACGCATAGATCCTCTTGTTCGATGAGTACCTCATACGACACGTGATCGTGCCCATAGAAGCCATCGCCAAGACGGGCTGCTCTTTGCATCAATAGACTGACTCGAGCAGTGAGAACCAGGGTGTCTCAGCTGTCACGACAGATTCACCGAGCCTCCCTTTGAGTTCCGAGTCAAAAGTCCAGTCCAAGCGCTGCCATCGTCTCGGCTGGCCTAGCCGCATTCACACCAGGATACCCCAATCGCCTTCTGCACTCCGGCCGTTGTGCCGGCAGTCGTCACTTTTGACCTTTCAACGTCATGCATCGCAGCTACAATGGTTTGCGTTACTGAAATTTAGAGTACATTATTAAGCCGGCTTTAAATCGTGTGGATCCGCCACGATACCTCCGATAGAGCTGTTCCTGCAATTCCCATGCGCTGGGAACAGGGGCGGAGTTTTGACGGTGGTTATTCACATGAAGTTCTTTTTTTGTAGATAACGTCTCCCTGATGGGCACAGGGGTGGGGTGGAGCGTTGGCCTTGGCGTTTCAAGCAGCCTGACAAGGAATCGATAATTGCCAGCTGGCGCGTGTAGAACCACCGCCGCAATCCTTCAGCAGGCCGTTCAGGATGTATGAAATACTGTCAGGTATCGCACTTTGTCAGAGGAAAAGGCACATGTCCCCATGAAAATGTGGGAACTGGGGTCATCGCATCAGCATAACAACTCATTACAACAATGCGACACTCCACATCACGACCCAGGAGCCGAGATCCATTCGATCTTTTGCTTGAGGCGCAGTCAACAGCATGACTCCAGGAACACCGAGCATACCGATAGTGGCATCATCGCTAACCTGCCTGGGTCTCCCGGCCCGCTACCGTTGACATGAACCCCCTGTTAGGTCCGGATCTGGTGCCATTAGCGCTATCGAAGATACTAAAATACGATATATAGGTGAGCATATACAGGGTAGCTACTCACGAACGGTTCCCATCTTGGCAGTACGCTATCCTGTTCGATGCTAGGTCTACAATCCCCTCGTTCGTTTCAACGGTATCCATTTTTGCAAACTCCTATGCGGGTCACCGTTATGGGATCGTGGCTGGGACAGGTATATAGATAGTTGACGCCAGTCCTCCGATTCCTGCCTCAGGCCAGTTGTCTGATTTCACATCCAAGATGCAGGTCCGCACTCTTTTCGCCGTGCTTTCGGCAGCCACTCTTTTACAATTCACCAACGCTCTTAATGCTTGCCCTGGCAACGACGATATCTTTACTGGAGCGGAAGGCATCAGATATCGAGTTTGCCCCGGTACCGACCTTACAGGACCTACGACATCGATCAAACGCGTTGCTTCGGTTACAGCATGTGCAAAACTCTGCGACAAGAGTATGGACTGCTTCAAGGCAGTGTTTGATACCAAGACCAAAGATTGCCACTTCAAGGATCTTACCGGCCTGAACTGGGTTGCCAACGATCGCTTCCAGGTCATCCAAGCAGAGCAAGTGAACATCGCTCGCTGCCCTGCTGGCGAATGGACGTATCACAGAAACAGAGTAAGTCTGCTCCCCAGTAGCTTGAGACACGCGGACATTAACATTGCACCCCTAGAAACAATACAGCATCTGCCCTGGCACCGACATCCGCGGACCAAGCGAGAAGGTATGGCAAGGCGTGAACACATTTGATACCTGTGCCTACCTTTGCGCCAACTGGGCCACATGTACCGCCGCTGTCTACGACTCTGCCAAGAAGGCTTGCCACATCAAAGCCGACTCGCGCAGTAACACTTTGATCTGGTCAACCGACAAACGCTTCGATGTAATGCGTCTCAATGTAGCGCCTGCGCCTGCGAAGGA